GGACTTCCAAAGAAAGTAAAGAATATTAGTCAGAGAAATAATAAAGTGTTCCTTCTAATGCAAAAAAAATCTGTCTTTGGTCTTTGCTGTTATAAGTGAACCCATATATTTGCTGGGATGCAGCAAATGTGTTTTCAAGCCTTAGCCCTTCCTTTAAAAGGGCAAATTCATTTTTTAAATTAAATCTAGGTACAGAGATTTAGACTTTTCTACAACAGGAGTGCGATACTGAAGGCACGCTCTGTAATAATCCTGTTGGCATCAGAATGCTCCTGCAAATAATTTATTTTTACTTACAAAACCTGTTACAGCTCTCTTTGTCCAGTACTACTCTCTCTCAAAGCACCTGGCATCCTCTGTCTTCAACCCTTTAATTGGTCTTTGCCAGTAAACTTTACCATGAGCCATATCACCACTGGATATATCAAAGATGGTTGGGATCATCATCCTCACCATAGTCTTGGATGTGGGCAACATAACCTCCTCACTTGCTCTTTTACAGAGAGGAGATTTGAGACTTGGAATTTGAACATACTGGGTGGTGTCCAAAAAGTCTTTGGCTGAATCAGGAACTGACCCCAGGTATTCCTATCTTGAGATAATGCCTTAACTACAACACAGTACAATCACCTTCTGCTGAATGGTTTTAGTAGAAGCTCTTAATTGGTATGGATAATAATGTAAAAGATACCACAGATTATAGACATTAATTCATTGCCAGAGAATTAGTCATTCCTTTCCTTTCCCCACTTCATCCTCCTACCTTTATCTGCTGCCATTGCTTCTAAGTATTAATGCTTTTTCTTGTCCCTCCCTTGCTAAATAGAATTAAACTCTGTAAAACATTGCACTATATTGTGCACAGACACAGGGTTTAGATTACTTGGTGCTTTTTTGGGGGGGTGGGGTGGGGAGGAGGGGTGTCTTTTGAGTAGGAACATGCTGTATATTAAGACAGGTTCAACCCTCCCTTCTGGGCCCACACAAAACTGCAGGTGAGATGAACTGGCACCATCATGAGCCGTGATAGAAGAATCCCAGCCCTTTGAGCCAGCTACTGCTTAACCCGGCAGTGCGTCCCCAAAAGGCAACTCATTAATGCTGCAGGTCTGTATCGCAGGCTGCTCATTTGCTTGTTGCCATGTTCAGCCCTTAGGCTCCAGCTTGCTGGAAGCGTTACGTTTTCCTGTCTTTAGGGTTCAGGACCAAAAAGCCCAACAGTATCACTTCACAGCCCTCCTGGGGGGGATGGGTCATGAGATAGCCCAGTGAGCACAGTCAGGGTGTGAATCACACACAAGCTATGCAAAGGGATGAGACTGATGTTTCCTAAGTTACTTCAACTCCAGCAGCTGCTCCTCCATTCTTTAATTGCTACTGATTAAAACCTCAGTTTGCATTCCTGGCTCATACTCTAGACCCAGCCCATGGGGAAGGTAACATGACCGTAAAGCATCATCTGATATAAGACAATGATCTTGAAATAGCAGAAATCAGACTGGAGAAAATGCACGTTTCAGCTCAACATCACGGTGCATCAAGGACAAGGCTTGAAGAGTCAGGTGTTAACATGACCACGTGAGTCTACCCCTCGCATATTGTCTTAGATGTTGCACAGCATCTGCCCACTGAAAACCCAGAAGGGAAATTAGCTCAAATATAACAAAGAAAAAAAGGGGTTTATAGCAGATAGTATACATAGAGCAGGGTTTTGCCATTCTCTACAGTCAGACTTTGGATATTTTAATAGGTTTGCATATGATGAGGAAATAAGCCCATTTTATCTCATTTCACATGTTCAGAGCTGAAAACATATTATACATAGTAGAGGTATTGTCAGCTCAGGATCAGAAATTAGAGCTTGTTTGCATCCTTTTTTCAGCTGTATCTTCCAGTGTGACTGGAAATAATTCAAGTTTAGGAGCTTAACATTTGTTACAGATTTTTTCCATTATTCAGCCTAAGCTCCCATTCCCTTATTTGTATCCTACTATTCTTAGTGATCTCTCAGACAGGTCGAAATATCCACACACGTAAAAAAGAGGAAGTAGGCATTTGCTTTATGTGTCCTTAGCAGCTGCAGTTTAGAGCCAATACTGCAAATCCCCCCAAGGTATCAGGGCCTTCTGCGCATGCACGTGCCCTCGGTCACAGGGCAGGCAGCACCGTGGCCATGAAAAGGAGCGGGGACACCAGCTGCAAATATGGTGCTCATCATTAGGCTCTTTTTTCTGTGATGACCGCAGATTCCCTCTGAAATTGCACAAGTCCCTCTCTTACCTATGCCTACGTTTTGCAGTCTCTAAGCTGTAATCAGCTGTAGGATGGTGAGCCGAGCTGCCATCACTCACACCTTGAAAGATGGTGG